AATGCAAACACACATTGGAGTGGTGGCAGATTAGGTTGCATCACCTTAGGGTGAAATGACTTTATTTGGTCTTTTCCTATATGCTAGGTGATAGATGGAACTTATAGCCACTGTTATTCCTTACTCTGAGACATATAAAGTATTTAAAGCTTTTTAAAAATTTAAGCAACTCAGATCTTTTGGCATAATTAAATTAGACGTGTCTGGCCTACATTTTCCTATCTACGCCCAAGGTATTACCTGGTATCGTAATTTATTTCTCTAAAGCCAGCTTTTGTATATGTATCTCATATACATTTTAAGGATTCACAATCTAATCCTATTTCTCTCCATAATGTGGAGTGGTGGAGTAACCAGGAATTAGCACTTAGTCTCTCCGATGAAAGGTTTTTTGGACTATCTTTCTAATTCTTCCAGAGAATTAGGCTTTAGCCTGCATGCTCCATAAATTACTCTTTTTGATATTGGTCAAGATGACACTTCATTTGCTTAATCTCAATTTTCTAAATGGGCTAGAACTAGTGTTCCACAGTGAGAAGGCATGTTAAAAAGTCCAGATAAGTATCTTCCTCCGGGCTAAGCGAGGGATGGATTAGCAGTCTCGGTTTTCTTTTCCCAGACACAATGTCTTTCACAAATGCCTATTGGCCCACATGTATCAGTACAGAAAATGTTCATGCACAGAGGAGAGAATTGGTGAACCTCTAAGTATACAAAGTCTTCATTGAATGCTATCAAATGTAAATAAACAGCTTTGGAAGAGAAATTGGGGGGGATTCCAGCATTTTAAAAAAACTTACAAAATTATTGAAAAAAAAACACTTCCCCTTTTATTTTCTTGAAGTCACTCCTGCCGCGGGGTTTTTGTGTTTCTATATTGACAGGAGTCCTCTTTCCTCCACCTTGATCCTTTGCACCCCTGGGAGTTTACCGACCGAGGTCTCTGCTCAAATACCACCTCTTCAGAGAGGCCTTCCTTGACTACCCTGTCTCTGCTCTCATATAGCTGACCTTTTAGGGGTGGAATGAGAAATAAATCTGTGTTTACTATGACAAAAAAATAAGGAGTAAAGGTGATAAAGAATATTCTGGGTAAAAGGCTATGAGAGGTTTTATTGGCCAGCCAGCATAGACCTCAAAGGTCAGTAGACATTTGAACCATGTGTGGGTAGGAACTGGGCTCAGTGCATTCAAAGAAAAAAAAAAGAAAACAAGAGAGTTGAACTGGAGTCACTGAGACGGCACAGCTGAAAAATGAGATTGGAGAAGGAGCTGATCATGGGCCAGATCATGGAGGCCGTGATAAAACTTGTGAAGACCATGATAAAACTCTTAAAATCATGATAAAAATTCCTGGACACCATAATAAAACTCAAAGAGACCCTGATAAAACTTTGGAGTTTGCTGTTCTAAACTGAGGTGCAGCATGACCTCATTTTCATTTGATCGTTCTGCATGCTTTATGGAGAAGAGATTGCAGGAAATAAAAAAAGACAGGGGTCATTTATGGAGGTCATAGTCTGGCTCTTCTTCGGGTGACCGGGTGAGCAGTTCACATACGTGGATTCCCGTTTAATTTCTGGACTGTGTTCCATTCACTGTCTTCTCTGAACTCTGACAAGACTGACCACACTGAAGCTGAGATTTACCATGAGCATCACATGATCCATACCTACCAGCCTCAGTGTTGAGCAGCAAGGAAAAAACTTGCCAACCAACAATTACTGATAAACAAATTGACATGCTCACAGATTGGGAAAAGTCACATGTTTTCAGATGTGCCTATTTCAGCCAGTGATTTTTCAGTTCTTTTGGGGCTTATACAACAGAAGAATATTTGAAGGAGCAGAGTGGGAGCATTTACTACTTGGTTTATTCTTTCCTTACTCAACTCCCTGAAAAAATATTTGAGACACATAAATGGCCTGGATATCAGAAGATTAGGAAGGAGGAGGAAAAGTCAGATTCATTCTTTGAGCCATCTGGCTAGGGCAGATCAGTTCTGAGCTCAAAGAAGGCTCTTCTGCTCAAAATAACTCATCCTGTCAGTTGAGTTCAATGGCAGGAAGAGTTCTCCAGCCAAGAGCGTGTCTGTGTGCTAGTTTACTAGAGGGAAACCCCTAGAGATATTTCTGGCAGGCACATAATGCCTTTGGTTTAGTTGGGGTCCTCAATGTGCCAAGGGAGAAGCGTCCATGTGGCAGAAATATCATTTTCAGGCCCCTAGTGGCTTTCAGCCAACTTAGTGGCACCCTGTTGCCATGACAATGCGGGGACCACATCTCCTGTGCTATCCAGGGTGGCAGTAAGCAAAGGGAGCCTGAAAAGAAACCAAGCTATAAGGCTTTTCAATATTGTGTGCAATTCGCCAGAGCCCACTCTCTTGAGCTTGTTTGAAATAGAAACCAAATTGCTGGAGAGAGAATTGCTCTGGAGAAAATACCTTTGGAATTTTAGAACATTCCTGTGTCTGTCCCCCCTCTCTCTGTACTTGCTATCAACTGTTAATGAAGTGGCTTGCATTCATCCTGCATATCACCTTGAACTGGAGTTGAAAGTGTCTGCAATTCCACCAGGATCAACACTTGGGGAGATAAGAAAATCAGTATGCCAAGACCAACAAATAAATTAAATTCATCCCCTGGTTACTCTGTTTTGCTAACACGGCCTGGTGCTCAGGTTAAAATTCATTGCTCAGTGATTCTTAGGGTCTTAATTCTAAGTCTTAATGTCCCAAGATTTAAATAACTGCCTTTTGTGGTTTAGTTTGCCTCCTTTTGTTGGGGTGTTTGGAGAGGGGAGGGTATCAGCAATTTGGATAATGTTAGGTTGAAAGCCCTTGGAATGTATGACACAGGAACATTTTGTGGAATAGGAATAATCTTTATGCTGTGAAGGAAACCAGACCAGTAGCAAGACTTTACACATTGACCTCAAGATTTCACCTCTGCCAAAGCTGCTGGCTCCCTTCTCTGTTCTCCTTTTGAGAAATGGGAAATGTAGACCACAGCACAGAGCAGACAATAGGTCTACCAGGGTGTGACATAAACCAGACATTGCAAGGTGACATCAGCTGATGGCTCCTAGAGGAATGTGAATGTGGCTATCTGTAAAGTCACCGTCTTGGGGGGTGGCACTGACTCCAGTCTAGTCTGTCTGGTGGGTATATAAATGTTTTAGAGGAGTCTCCAACCCTCTGTTCTTCCAGGAGTGCCCTTTTGCCTTTGATTTGACTCACTTACTTTGATCTCAGTTTTCATTTGGAACATTTTGGTGATGGGTGGGCTGTCATAGGGCTGCTGCTCTGGCAAAATTCCAGGGCTCCCCATTCTCATTTTGGTGTCTGTCACAGCTTCTCAAACTGGGATGATTTTGCTCACAGCAGATACTTCATAATGTCTGGAGTCATTTTAGGTTGTCACAATGGCAGAGAGGGTGCTAGACCCTGGGATATACTGAACATCTTACAATGCACAGGACAGCCTCCATACCAGAGAATTAGCTTTGCCCTTGAATGTCTAGAGTGAGAGCAGGCAAAGTCCTGATCTACATGAATGATCTGATCCCAGTCCCGGTGGCCTTCAAGGTAGGCCTGGGAAGATTCAAAACAGAAGATGGCGCAGCAGGCCTCTCCTGTCCCGATGCTCCCCTCAGCAGTGTGTTTCAGTAGATCTATCTGTTCTGTTCTCTACTCTGTCTCTGGAGAATCCTCTCAACCCCGCACTTCTGACCTGCACGACAACAAATGAACGTGCATTTGCTTTCGCTTTCAAGTTGTATTTAATAATCTCTCTTCCATGAGAGATAGCTGTTATTGAGGACAAATAAAATTTGGAATGACATAACCTAGAACTCTGTCTTTGCCTTAAGCAGGGAACTTAACTACTCCGAACTCAGTTTTTTCATTTGTAAAATGAGGGGGGAAATCTGTGGTAAAAATGCAACAAGACAGAGCACCATGCTTAGTCTACACTGAGACTTAGTGAGTGATAGTTGTATGAAGAAGCAAGGACTAGACTCTGTAGATGAACCTTTGACCGGCCCTGCCAACTCGCATCTGGGCTAAGCCGATGAATGAATCCTGCATTTATGAATTGTATTGCAGATAGCTACAAACATATACATCAGTTTCTGTGTCAAATAAAGATCCCTGACCACCATCCCCTCTGGAGAAATACGTCATGTATGATATATTATGCTTGATATAGAGGTTTTGAAATCAAGACAGAAAATACTTGTTACAGAAACAAAAGTAATGAGAGAAGAAATGCTGAACCCATGAAAATTAAATAACACTTGAATTTAAATTTTTAAAATTTTATTATTAATTTTTTATTTTGTGGTGATATCATTTTGAAAAAATTCTGATTAAAAACTATTTTAGGGAGATATTTTCCTAATCTCGAGTTATTTAACTTAATGATCTTTACCTATACCTTACTCCCTAACCTGATTCACAAAAATGTTTCTGAGACATCAGAATTTCCAAGAAGTTTCTCAGTGTTCACATAAGTTGAACTTCCAATTGGAGTAGGAGAATGCTTTCAACATGCCTTGTGATGGATGTCTGTGATGTAAGTCCCCATGGTTCTCGTTTAGGACCTGACTTAATCAAAAACAATTATGCTAACAAAAAAGGGTGGAAGGGAGTCGACTTCTCCCAATTTTTCTATTGTGTGGCCAGTTTAATGTCAGACTTCTCAAAAGGCTTAAAAATATAAGACAGCAGGAAAAACAATTTAATGTAGAAATGCCAGCAAGGACTAAACTTAAGTAGAGTAAATCAAGCATAATATGTCAAGTGTCTTAAGGGTATAGATTTTTCTTTCTTTTATTAATTTCAGTACTCAACAGCATGGTACCATGGAGTTTGATTTTGCATTCATAAGCACAAGTACTTAGAGAGGTTTTTATCAGACACACCCAGCAGATATCAGAGCACCTCTCAGCAGAGTCTTCAGTCTGATGCCCCTGTTGCTTAGATAAGATGAGAATTGAGGGCACAATGTTGGTGTTCCATGCTTAGATAGAAGAAGAGACCGATTATATCCTAGATATCAAAACTGTTCTACAGCATTTCTTACTCTGAGAAGAAATAGAGTACTTGGAATTCATCTGTGAAATTTCCCTTTGAGTTAAAGGATGGTAGACCCTGAAGCAAAGATAAGTTATTCTGTCTGGTTATGGCAACCCAGTGGTTATCAACCTTTGCTGCATATTAGAACAACATGTAGAGTCTTTAACAAACTATTGATGCCATTCATTATCTACAGAAAAATATAATTTAATTGACATAGGGTTGAGCCAGACAGTACTTAAAAAAATCTCTCCTGTCTGATTTTCTAATCTGCAACCAAGTTTAAGAACAATTGCAATAACAATTAAGCTGTGGTCCTTGTATTTTTTTTTTTTTCCTGAATCAAAACACCTACAGCTTACCACATACTTTGATCGGTCACAGTGACTCACCCTTGGCATTGATTCATGAGATGGAATCTTGGGATAGGGTAAGGGAACAGAGAAGCTGGGGGAAGAGAAGAAATGGCATATGTAGTTCAAACATGCAGTACCCTGCTCCACAAGCAGAGTAATGTTCAAGTATTTAATAATTGATCTGGCATGGGCACTGAGCCATTGGAACAGGTGCTCCTTAATCCCGGTCATTTCATTGATATACCCTTAATAGAACATTGGGATGCAGGCACTCACTCTTTCACATTCTGAATTCATCCTATTATCAGCTATCTCCTAGCCAAAACCCAAATCAGAGCTGCGGAGTTAAGGATACCTGGGGACCAAGATGCAGGGTGTGTAACTGGTGACATGTATTGGGTTTAGTAATAAAGCATCCCTGGAAGTGCATAGGTGATAGACTTGGGATAACAAAAATAGATGTTACCCACTTTCCATGGTTGCCTTCCTTGGTTCAGCCAAGTTCTTAGTTTTGAGATAATTTATAAAACATAGTTCTCTTTGTAAGAATTCTAGAGATGAGCTATAAAAAACCTAGAAACAACAACAAAAAGTCTTCTAATGAGGACAAATGGTTCTCAGTAAACTCCCACAGGTCCCCTAAGACCCATACTATAAATTGTGAAACCTGAGACCCAAGTGAGGGGTCACCATGACCTTGTGTATGTCATTAAACTCCTGACCTTCTGTTTGCCTGTTGGTGGCCAGAGGCCTCTTTCCTGCAGAACCAATCATCTGTGTTCTCTGAGATCCAAGCAGTTCCAGGGAAAGAGAGGTCTTGTTTTTAATGGCAGCTCTACCCCAAGCTCGGCTTTACCCAGCATTCCTGAGCCCCTCCTCCCTCCGCCCAAAACTTTTTCTTTGGCAATCCCGTTATGTTGATACAAGGTAACAGTTGAGAATATAAGTTGATGTGTAATGGAAAGTTTATACTTAAATTTGTATGTCATCATCCTCTGACATGGAAAACTTGCTTTGTTCCTTATTGGCCGGAGATGCTCTGTGACGTTAGTACGCTTGGACTGTTTTCAAGTAGATTTGAAAAAAGTGACGAGACTTGAAATAGGTAAATTCTTACAGATATGTAAGTATTTTCTAGATTTTAAGATCAGAAATCGGGAGATCCATTTACGCCATGTGCCTTCCGACACATTTCCAAGCTGTATTGATTTATGACACATTTGCCGGGAACTTCTTTCCTCCACTTTCTCTACAAATGCTTTACTGTTCAAGGACAAGATTTTCCTTGACAACAAGGAAGCATGACATTGCTGAACTGTTATTTATGGGATTTTTGAGGTCAAGAGGATATTTGATATCACTATCACTAACACCTTCAAAGAAAAGAAGAATTAATCTTATTTCCTAGCAGTTTACCAGTAAGTGAAAAATCTCCTGGTGACAAAGATAGGCTGTTACATAAAGGTCATTCCAACTTCACTCGAAAGCAAACTTCATTTCTGGCTCAGAATCAGTATTTAATGTCTGTGCAAATGATTAGTGACAGGTTTTTGTAGCTTTGAGGCTATCTTCTCAGTGTGAGACCCTCTCACCCCACAGCCATTCTGAAACTATTGCCATGGAAGTCTATTTAGTTATTAAGAACTTGCTGTTGCTTTTGTCTCTCTGGTAGATAAGTTTCAGTTAATTGTGTAACTCAGTTGCTGCCCCTTTATCATTGTTCTGTGAATGATCCTTTAAGTTTGATTTGTTCTTCATGCATCCTGCTTCACTGGCACATACTCCACTCCTGTTCATGCAAATGGTGTTCTTTTTTGTTCTATAGTGCTTTTTTTAATTTCCTATATTCCCTCCCCCCGCTAGCACTGTGTATTTAAATTGTGCCGTGACCAATAGGATGTGAACTGTAATGCCCAGTATTCTCTTCTGGTTAACTGGTTAACTAGAAACAAGTTGATTGGGATTGAGTTCTTCCTCCCCTCTTGCCAGCCTGATGGGCTACACCTCGTCTCAATTTAAAGTTTCCCCAGGTGATTCCAGGGGCATGCAGCACCCCCCTAAGTATCAGCCAGTGCTGGGGCACGTGTGTTCACTGCTCTCTGAGCCAAGAGCATCTCTCCGTAGTGTTGTGATAAAGGGCAACAATATGTTCAACATCTTGTTGCAGTCCTTCTTGGGATTTCAGATCTGTTCATATGAAGCTTACAAAGTCCTGCACTCAACAACCACCTCTCACTTGGCTCTGTGTAGTCCTTTGCTTTTAACTTGCTAGTTAATACTCTAATGTGCATTCACTGATTTTTTTTTCCCTTAAAGATTTGTTTATTTATGCATACAAGAACTGTGGTGTAAACCAGAGGTGCAGGGTGGGGGGTGGTGAGAGGAGTCACCAGAGAGGCTGTGGAGCAGAACAGTCGGATCTACTAAAATACGCTGCTGTGGGGAGCAGTAGGAGAGGCAGAAGGGGTCTGCTGGGCCATGTGGGTAGCTCCTTGGACAGCCAGGGATCAAACTCGTGCTGCAGTGGCTGGTGATAGCTGGGTAGCGCTGTCTTTAACCCCTGCACCACCAGGGAGGCCCTTATAGATTTTCACTTAGTCATCTCTTCCAGTAATGGACACCCAGCTTCTTGCCACCACAAGCTGTCACAAAGAACATCCTTGTTCAGAGGGACTGATCACAAAGATATACAAAGAACTAACACAACTCAATAAAACAAAAATAAACAATCCAGTCAAGAAATGGGCAGAAGAACTTAAAAGACATTTCTTTAAAGAGGAAATGCAAATGGCCAACAGGCATATGAAAAGATGTTCAGCATCCCTTATTATCAGGGAAATGCAAATTCAAACCACATTCAGATACCACTTTACACCAGTAAGAATGGCACATATCTGAAAAACAACCAACAACAAATATTGGCAAGGATGTGGTGAAAAAGGAACTCTCCTACATTGCTGGTGGGAGTGCAAACTAGTCCAACCACTATGGAAAGCTGTCTGGAGTATCTTCAGTCTACTAAAACTGGAGCTACCATACGACCCGGCAATTGCACTGCTAGGGATCTACCCAAAGGACCCAAAAACATTGATTCAAAAGAACACCTGTACCCCTATGTTTATTGCAGCACTATCTACAATAGGTAAACCTGGAAACAACCCAAATGCCCAAAAATAGATGACTGGATCAAGAAGATGTGGCATATATACACAATGGAATATTATTCAGCAATCAGAAAAGATAAACTCATGCCATTTGCGGCAACATGGACGGAACTAGAAGGAATTTTGCTCAGTGAAATAAGTCAGAAGGAAAAAGAAAAATATCACATGGTTTCACTTACAACAGGAATATAGGGGAACCAAATAAGACATCAGTGTAAAAAAATAGTAACAGTACAAAACACAACAAAGCAAAAACAGACAATTATAAATCAGAGGCATCCTGCAGGGAAGGAGGAGGGAGAGGGAATAGGGAGGGAGGGAGGAGCACAGGGGACTGAGGTGATGGTGCACGGGCGTTGGGGAAGGAAACTTTATGGGGACTCAATCTGAGGGGGTGGGGGGAAGCAAATATTGTTTAAAAATGAACAATGATGTAAAAAAATAAATATGAGAGATTTATAAAAATAAAAAAAAAATCCTTATTTATGTTCCTTGATGAACTCTTGTGACATTGTCCTTGGAGTAGAATTCCTAGGTTATAGAAAATACATAAATATAATTTGCTGAATAATTCCAGATCACTCTTCTGTGAAAATATCCCCCTGTGCTGAAAGCTGATTGGCAGTGAGAGCCCATTGGGAAATCCATAGTTTGGAAAAGTAGCCTATCTAATAATTTAAATCGGGGAGTCACTGTAGCAGCAGGAAGGCCAAAAGGCAAGCTTTCTATGATTGGAGCAGACGGGTGAAGGAGAGAGTCCTGGAGCCCTTGGTGGCTTTTTCCAGGCTTTTATTGGGATTTACCAGGTACACGGCAGGCAGGGTGCAAGGGGTCTGGGAGGCTGACAGGCCTCCCAGCCCTCAGGGAGTCATCACTCTTTCTGGCCTCTCCAGTTGTAGGGGGCCAGGAATGGGTCACAGGGTCGGTTTTCTGATCCAGCAGACCGGGTAAAGGAGGAGTCAGAGTCCTTAGTGGCTTTTTGCAGGTCTTTTTATTGGGATTTACCCAGTACACAGCAGGCAGGGGTGCTGGGGGGCCAGGAGGCTGGCAGGCCTCTCAGCACCCAGCAAGTCTTCACTCTATCTGGGCTCTCTGGCCTTCTCTCACATTCTCTCTGCTCTTCTCATGGCTCTGCTTCTCTCTCGGCTTCTCTTTCAGCTTCTGCTGCTGCTGGCATCCCCATGACGCCGCCTTTAAAAGGCCAGTCTCTCAGCCCAGGTGAATCCTATCTACCTATGCCCACACCCTATTCCAGGTGCCCACCATCAGGCATGCATTCAGGACCGCAATGATCCATCATCTGTCCTGATGGCGGGAGGGCAGAAAAGCCTGACATTTTTCCTTATCCTACACCAGTGTTCTCTCATGCCTTTGTTCTATCTCTTCTCGTGGTGCTGCTGTTCCGTTCTCTGGCATCCTGTGGCACCACCCTTATGAGCACAGTCTCTCAGCCCAGGTATCCCCACTTACACATGCCCACACCCTACTCCAGGTGCCCTCTATCAGGCATGCATTCAGGACTGTAGGATTTCATCATCGATACTAATGGTGGGAGGGCAGAAAAACCTGATAATTATTTACCCTACAGTCACAATCTTTCAAATTTTGGAGATAACCTTCTTTTGTCATGCCCAGAGTGCCAGAGTCTTATTCAGCAGAGAGATGATGAAAGCTGAGGGCATCGGACATCACACACAGTATCAAGACCTCCAGAGACTGCCTATCTCATTTTTTTAAAGATTTATTTATTTATGCATGTGAGAGCTGGGGTGCAGGCCAGAGATGGGGGGTTGGGTGAGAGGATTCACTAGAGGCAAAGTGGGGAGCAGAAAAGGTACACTGACTGAAATATACTGCTGAGGGGAGCACAGGGCCAGACAGGAGAGGTCTGCTGTGCCATGTGGGTGACTCCCTGGCTGGGTATTGAATCCGTGCTGCAGTGGCTTCACATAGCTTCATAGTGCTGCGTCTTAACTCCTTGCACCACCAGGGAGGCCCCTGCTTATCTATTTCTTAGGTGCCATCCTTCATCAGCTATTTCCTGGCCTTGAGTTCCATAATTGTGTTCATCCCCTGACCCACAGGAAGCTTCAGTGAATTTATGTGACTTGTGACCAAATGAGATTTTACCACAAAACTCTGATCTGACTGTTAATCTAAATTTGCTGAAAACTGTGCTCTAGATATTTTGGGAAATGAAGTTTTGGTTTGGATTAAAAGTCAAGTTTTGTCAGTGACTTTTCTCATGAGAAATGGGATTCTTCTATCAGATAAAGGTAGTGCATGAATTTCTGCTAAGAAATTGAAAAAAAAAAAAAAGACAACAATACATATCGAGACCCTATAGAATTGACATAGCAAGTTGCTAATGTGAACACAGTTGTTTCAACTTAGGACTGTGAAGTCAACTATTTGGCATCAGGTGGGCATAGTACAATAACATGGATTGAACTTCTATTTGAATATTGTTCATCATAATACAAATTTCTCTTTGCCTTTAATCATGCATTTTAGCATAATAAAAAAATTATAGACATGTCCTCAGTTAATTGATTCTGTTCTCACCTAGCCATTTGGATGGACTAAATTTTGAATGGACATTGATTTTCATAATATCTTTCTGCAAGGCTAATAAAAAAAATCTGGTTGAGTTTTGTTTCTTGAGAAAAATGCAGTCTTGGGTGAGGAATATGTAAATTAGTGGATTTAACATCATAGAAAATGATTGTGGGGCCTCCCTGGTGGCGCAGGTGGTTGAACACTG